GAGGGTGGTGAAATATTGAAAGTGGTATTTGAGCTAATTATTTAGATGAAAACATGCATTTATGGGTTAGCAGATATTGTGGCATCTGGATGTGGTGGCCCTGGTCATTGACACAGAACTTAGGGAAATGCCCAATTTATGGAGCTAGAAATTTCTACTTAGTAAATGGTAATAAAGGGACAGGACAGAGAGAGTATAGTTTGATGGAAAGCAGTAACTCCTGGCTGAAGCTCCTACTAGAAGGCTGAGAACAAATCACATTTCAAGGTTCCAAACTGTTTTCTATGAGAAATGCTTTAGGAAGAAAAAAGCAACAGACTTCAGGTTGACTTTGGTGAAATACATTAAGGTTTTGTTGTAATTCATTTAGACTATAATTTGGCACTTTCTTATTAACCTGGTCTGTTACCTGAATTCCCTTTTCTGAAGACAAAACTCTTCTGATGGAATAAATGTTTGTTGTTTCCATATTTACTGATGATGGTGTTAGTTGACAGTAGATACCTTGTCTTTGTCAATAGCAAAGCACTAGTAATATGAAATTTTAGTGACTAAAGATGGTAAATGTTTTTCTTTTAGCTAATTTATTTGTAGGACAGACTAATTAGGTTGTTAGCTGTTCAACAAAGGGAATATAAATGTAGTTTTTTCCTGTTCTTCCGCCAGCCTTTTTCTGACTTCTGTACAAAATACAGTTTTACAGAATAATTTTTGCTTTCCTATCTTCATCTCTTATTCTTTGTTCCCCCCCTTTTTTTTTTTCTCTCCCCACACCCTTTTTCCTTACTGTGTTTCTCCATTGTCCAGGCTGAGCATGCCTTTTCTCTTTGGGATTTAATTTCAAGCTTCTTTTCTGAAACCTATACTTGAAGAAGAAATACTCATTTTTCTCTGCTCTCTTCTGGGTCAGGTGAGAAAAGGATGCATCCCAGTGTTGTTTTTGCCCTATACCAAAGTGAGAGTGGAAACAGTACACTGCATCTTAGCCGACTGGTTATGACTGAATAGCATGCTTACTGAGAAATACCTTGAGAGGGATGGGAATAAGTCTGCAGTGGCTGTGTGAGGAAGAGGGGTGGGAAACACAGGCCGAGCAAAGAGGTTTTGGGGGCTAATCTACTTCTGGGTTTGAGAGTTGTTTTAGAATGTTACTCTGAAGAAGATGGAAGGAAAGTTAGTTCGGGACCTTGGCATCAGAGTTTTGGATGGATTGTCTGATGTATTGTGTTACATTCATAGGGAAAATGTTAGCATATGAGTCATGATTTATGTTTTGAGGGACTTCGAGCAAAATAGACCAAAATGTATAAATTTGTTTTCTTTTAGACACAGAACTTGTACGATTACTAGCATCAGCATGCATGCAAGTAAGCAAAGACAAGAGTAAGCCGAATTGCAGATCATCTTTGCCTTATTCCAGAAGCAGGCATTGCTTAAATGTTCCTATGTTGCCTGATGACAAAGGAGGATTAAAGGTAAATATATTTACTCTTTTTGAGGAATTTTAATAAATAACCAATGTATCATTTCCTGTAATATATGAACCAGAGAAGGTTATTGTAAGGAAGTATTTTGGCTCTGGCACATAACTATTTCTCTCCCCTAAGAATCTGTATCAGAGCATTTCAGTGCCTAGTAATATGCTTTATAGTAAAGTAGTAAAAGTTATGGTGTTTAAGTTGGAAATTGAATTTCCATTATGATCTTAATTTTATTTCTCCTTTCATAGTCCAATTTTTCTACAGCTTTAGTAAACTCTTCCTATACTCATGGTTGAGAATTTTTCTTTGTTTTGTTTTCTTTGAAATTGAAGTGCAACAAAGGGACTCTTGTAGTATTGTGCAGCAAGGGCCTAACTGGGTTCACAAAGGATTTTTCTGACAAGGTCAGTGCAAATCACAGAACATGGGTTCCACTGAATCACAGGAATGTAAGGACAACAGGGAACCTGAGAGGCTCATGTGCCCTTGTCAAGTGAGGAGACAGAATGAATAAGTCAAGAGCATCTTTGGCTGGTGTTTCTATGCTTCTGTTACCAGGTCATAATCAGTGGTGGTGGTTTGTTTGTTTGCTTGGGTTTTTTTTTTTTTTCATCTCTTTCACCAGTTTTTCCCTTCTTTGTATTTCTACACTTGATACACTTGATTTCTTCTTCCTCCATCTCAGCCTGATCCCTCCTGAATAATGTAAACTTCACTGTCATTTTGCGTATCACCCTGAGATACTTGGAGCAATCCAAATGGATGTTTCCCGTAGGTTTAGAGGAATTTATTCTCTGTTTTATCCTTCCTGTTGATGAATATTTCCAAACTCTCATTTCAGTCTGCTAAATATATGCTTCCAATTTGACGGTGAATTCTTGGTATTTTGTCTCTTATGTTTTGGTGATGACACTTGCCCTACATTTAATTAGGATCATATTTCCCTTATGTGTTCAGAGTGTCATGTGGAATAGTGATAAAAGCTTTAATAAAGTCAAGATACGTCACAGCTTGTGCTCTGTTAAACAAGGATTGATTTCATGCATTTTTTTTCCTGACAAACCCACATCAGCTATTGCTTTAATTTTCAAAACTTCTTTCATCCTCTTGCCAGTTCTTGGAGATGATCAATATTGTTTCAGAAGCTGTTTCAACTACAGTTAGCCTAGAGTAAATTCAATTAGTCTTTTTTATTGTTTTAATTTGTGTAGCTAATTTAAGTATTTGTGGTGTGTCGTTTCCATATTACTACGTTTCTGCCTTCCTGCTGTTAATGGTATTTATAGTAAAATACCTAGCCACAAATTATCTTGTTCTGAAGTTGTTTGTTTGTTTGTTTTAAGACTACATCATCCTTTTGCATGTTTCCATTGGATCATTTTTTGTCATTAAGTAATAGGCTTGTTACTTTCATGATTTTTTCTTTTATTTCTAACTTAGGCATAATATAGGCACTTGTTCCTTTACCTATTGATTATGAAGTGAATGACTGTTCTCTACGCTTTATTCCTGTAACTTCGCCTAGGAATGCCTACTAGTTTGTTTCTCTGCATTTTCTGGACTTAACAAAAACAAAGTAGTGTCTTCTGCATATACAAAAGCTTTTTTATTTCCTGTTTTCTTCCTTCTTATCCATCTGCAGCAAATCTTACCCTTCATATAGGTATTATGGAAGTGTGAATTACCACCTTCCATTAATTTTTGCGGGAGGCGGTGGGGAAGGGTAAGTTGTGGAGTGGTGGGATGGCAGGAGCGAGCTCGTTTGAGAACAGATATTTCCTGTTCTTTTGTTTACTCCTAATATTCGTGCAACTATTTAAGGTGTTTCTCAAGTGGCAACACCATTTTTCTCGATGCCACTGAATTTTCTGTTACTACTATATTTCAGCTTTTTTGCAGATGGTATCTTTACTGACCAAGGTATTTTTGTTACAAGGTGGCTACAAGCAAACGACCTTATATGAGCAGTTTCTCTTGTAAGCTCATTGTGTTCCATATAATAACTGAATTTTTTAATTATCCTTTCAGTTTCTCTTGGAATGTGAGTAAATGCTGAACTATACTTTTCATCATTTTCTCAAAACTATTTATCTCTTGCCTGTATATGCCAGCACCTCTGATGCTGAGAGGATTTAAAATCTTGATCAGAGATACAGGAGTCTGAGAACTCTCTGCTTCTAATGCTCTGTGCAGATATAAGATCTTTTTAATGATCATCTGCTAGAGGGATTGATTTACATGGAGTGAGGGGAGTGAGTTTGTGTTAGTGTGACAGCTGGGAAGACATGTACCTATAAGCAATTGAAACAAATGTGAAGGAGGCAGAGGGAGAAGAATATGTAGGATAAAAAGGAATAGCAAAGGATAATGAGTAAACTAGGAAAGTACATATCTGGATTATGTTATCATGCAAAACTACTTTAGTGAAGTATCATCATTTAAAATGCTTTCATATTTCAAATGTTCTAGAAATAAGTTTTACAAAAATTAACAATTTACAAATAATAATTTACAATAATAAGATTTAACAATAATAAGATTATTATTTGTATAGTCATAAGCTTTATATAGTAATTTATAAATATAGAATTTATATTTAAAATTTATTTACCTCTAAGCGATATAATGCTTTCTTCTTCTGCCCAGCTCTGGTGAGTACATTGTATTTGAATATTGTGCCCAGTTCTGGGCTCCCTGGTACAAGAGAGACGTGGAACTTCTAGAGAAGGTCCAATGAAGCACTATGAAGATGATTAAGGGACTGGAGCATCTATCTTATGAGGAAAGATGAAGTGAGCTGGGCCTGTTTAGCCTTGAAAAGAGAAGATTGAGAGGTGATCTTATCAATATGTACAAATATCTGAGGGGAGAATGTAAAGAGGATGAGGCCAAAGTCTCCTTGGTGGTGGCCAGCAGCAGAACAAGGGACAATGGCTACAAATTGAAACACAAGAAGTTCCATCTCCATGTGAGGAAAAACTTCTTTACTGTGAGGGCGCCTGAACAGGCTGCCCAGAGAGGTTGTGGAGTCTCCTTCTCTGGAGATCTTCCAAACCCACCTGGACCCCACCCTGTGCCATGTGCTCTGGGTGTCCCTGCTGGAGCAGGGGGGCTGGACTAGATGATCTCTAGAGGTCCCTTCCAACCTCAACCATTCTGTGATTCTGTAGTATTGACTGCATAGGTCATCTTAATGTAGGCTTCTAAATGTAGTTTCAAAAGTTTGGAGAAAGGTACCAGGAAAGTAATAGAGGATTCTTCTTGAAGCATCTCTGTTTTTTGTTGTTGTTGTTTAAAGTAGGAAATATTTTAGGAAGCTGGTTCCCTCCTGTGACAATCTCCATAGGTACTTTGTTTTTATGGATAGATGCTGTAGTACAGTATTCAGATTTGTGTCATTTTCACAATTCATATTTCCTCAGCTTGCACTTACTCGGTCTATATTTTTGCATGAATAGAGTGGGCAGGGTATAAGTCATCTGTCTAGCAGGATGTATGTATTGTGAATGGACAGGAATACTGACCACTGGCTTGCCACTGACTATCGTAAAACCTAAGGAGAGGCTTTCCTGTAGATCACAACTTTTAGGCATGCCTTGAAATAGCTGGAAAATATTACATGCTGGTTCTTTGATGTCAGTGACTATGAGAATGAATGATGAAATTTATTGGAACACTAAATAATTACCATGTAGTTGAATAGAAAAATGTTTTTATTCAAATTGCCCTAATAAATTAATTTATCATCTAAATTCATCATACTTTGTCTTTCCAGATTGTGTGGGAAAATATTCTAAACTATTTGTAAAGTGAAAAATAAGGAAAGAAGTTGATGTTGCCCAAATTGTGGTGAAGGGTTTTGTTGATGATTATAAAGCACTTTAACCACTGCTTTTGTAGTTTATCTCTAAAGCTTTTTGAGAAATGAAGTGAAGATTACTTAATTCCACTTTTTTTTTCATTTAGTTAGAACTAAATTATTTTATCTTATCGATCTAGTCTTGGTGGAGCAGGATGTCCAATCGCTTCCGCAAGCTGAAGTTGACTCAGACGTTGCGTCATGGATTTTCTTCCAATCAGTTTGTGTCTTTTGCTGATGAGCCTGAATCTTCATTAAATGACACCATTAAAGCAGTTTCACAGAGTGACATGGACACCGCTGGAAACCCTGATGCTGCTATAGCTCGGATCACAAATAACAAACCTGGTGGTAAAGCCCATTGTATTACAAGAAGCGCTCTCTTATGTTAATATGATATTATTTCTATCTACTTAGTTTATTATGGATTGTATTTAGTGTATTATTAAAAGATACATGATGTGTGTGTAAATATAGTTAGAATTAATATGTGTATATATAGTTAGAATATCACATTCGCATCATGCCGTGTACAGTGTCATTTAAGTAGGAAAATGCTATGTCACAATGTTATTGCTTTTAGCAAACACCACTAAATTGGACAGCTCACTCAGAAGATGTTAGTATTCTTGGTAAACTAATTTATGTAATGAAAACTGAATTTATGTATTAAAAAGAGATCAGAAAACCCCAAATCATAAAGGACGTGCACTGCAGTTGTAGGGTTCTCCGAGCAAAACCCCAGTAATTTGTGAATGGTGCAAATGGTACAAAATGGTGCAATGACCTGACTTCACTATGTAGACAGTATTGATGGAAAATTTGGCTCTGTGCACTTGATAAAACTAATACATTTAAAAGAGTAAAATATCCTTGAGAATAAGAAGTAGGAGCAATAAATAATCAGTTATCTGTTTTTTTCAGGTGTAAGCACTGTAAAAGAAGGAAAGGATGATGTATTATTGACAACCATGGTAAGTTGCAAAGTTCTTGGTGGGTTCAGCACAACTGAGAAGGTCACACATCTCCATCAGTTTTTACCTTCCTACAGTGGACCATTAAAAAGAGAGCTGTCATTTACGGGTAGTCAAGAGATAGGAAGTGACAAACTGTGACATGTTTGGTCTTAGAGTAGGAATACTAAAAATACTGTAAATAATATGGACTGGTAGTTGTTGATCAATACTGACTTTTCTTCAGAAAGAGGAGTCCATATCTTTATATGATCAACAGTGAATTTATAAAACTGATTGGACAGCTTTTGATGTGAGATTGGCTGAAAAAACTCAACATTTGACTCCTTGTTGAGTTCTATGGTTTTGTTTTGTTTTGTTTTGTTCTTTTTGTTTGTTTTGTTTTGTTTTGTTTTTCTTCCCCCCCTCTGGAGAATGCACAGAGCAGGATCAGGTAGTGTTCAGTGTTCCAAAGCGCCTTATCTGGGAATTTGGAGGACCACCTGGCTAGGTGTCCTGTATGCCACTTTGAAATTGGTTGTTAATATTTCTGTTAAAAATCAGCATGAAATAGGGTTCAGCCCACTGCTTCTATTTAGTTTCAAAATGTACCTGCTGCACATTTCTCTTATTACTAGTACTATGTACCTTTGTTCTGATTTTAAATATGCATTATTAGCTCCCAATAATCTTTCTAAAATGAGAGTCTTTGTCTTTTTTCCTTTCTTTTTGTCCACTCAGTTAAGAAGTAGTGCTCCATTTACTAGGCTGCCCAGTGATAAGCTGAAAGCAGTCATTCCACCTTTCTTACCACCTTCAAGTTTTGAGCTTTGGAGCTCTGACAGAACACGAATCAACAGAGATGGTAAAGCTGAACAGATGAGAACTGCCTGGCCGCAGAGAGCAATCAAGCATGATTTTGGCAGCAGTGGAAATTCTGATATAGTAAGTAAATGGAACGTATAAGAAAGCATCGTGTAGCAGTGTGTCTAGAGCATGCTGGCTGGTAAGACATGCCAGTTTTGTACATGTTTTCTCCTCATCCTTCTACATCATCTTCCGTCTGTGTTCTTTTAATGATGAGAGCACCATAAAGTTATGATTAGAAATGACTTCAATTCCCATGTCTCATTAGTGGCTTACTTCTGAGAAGAATACACTTCTCTCTGAAAAGAAAATAATTGGAACAAAAGTTTGCATGAAATAAAAAGTAAGTGGGGGAAGGGAAGAAATACCTAGGAGACATTTTATGTATATACATAGACATAACATTCTGAAAAAAATGGTATGTGATAAAATCATAGCAATTAGTGACCCAGTGAGCTTAGAGTGCAAACTCTGAAGTGTGCATATTGTAAAAATGAAATGTCTGTGTAAATCCTTTTTTAGAAGAAATTTACCTTTTTCTACAGTGTGGGTGTTTTGTTTGTTTTTTTTTTAGATAGAAAGCAAAGCATCCTTGGCACCTGCTTCCGTGGTTAGTAAAAGAGTGCTGCAATGAATGGCTGCAGATTCTCCAGAAGGCATAGACAAGGAAGGAAAGGGAGTGTTAGGGCTATATGTTAGGGAGTGTTTCAACTGCATGGAGTTCCAAGTGTGGGTGATGGAAAGGTTGAGTTCCTGTGGATCAGAGAGAAGGCCAACAAGGCTGATATCCTGGTGGGAGTCTGCTATAGTTTGCCCAGCCAGGATGAAAAGGTAGATGAGGCATTCTACAAGCCACTGGCAGAAAACTCATGTTTGGCAGCCCTTGTTCTCTTGGGAGACTACAACTTACCTGATGTTTGTTGGAAATACAACACGGCAGAGAGGAAACAGTCCAGGAGGTTTGTGGAGTGTGTGGAACATAACTTCCTATCACGGCTTGTAAGTGAGCCTACCAGGGAAGGTGCCTCTCTGGACCTGCTCACTGTGAACTGAGAAGGACTGGTGGGAGATGTGGTGGCTGGAGGCTCTCTTGGGCATAGTGACCACGAAATGATAGGGTTATCAATTCTAGGTGAACACAGGAGGAGTGTCAGCAAAACCACTATCTTGGACTTCAGAAAGGCTTCTTTTGGACTGTTTAGGACATTGTTTGGAAGAGTCTTTTGGGAGACAGCCCTGAAGAGCAAAGGGATTCAGGAAGGCTGGACTTTCCTCAAGAAGCAAGTGTTAAAAGTGCAACAGCAGGCCATTGCCATGTGTGGAACGATGAGAGGGAAGGGTAGAAGACTGGCCTGGCTGAATAGCGAACTATCGTTGAGATGTGGGATGGAGAAGAGAGTTTACCACCTTTGGGAGAAGAGGCAGGCAACTTGAGAAGAGTACAAGGACATTGTATGGGTATGTAGAGAGGAAATTGAGTTTCAGATGAACTTTCGCCTTTCTAATCTGGCTGCTGTTGTAAAAGACAACAACAACAAAAAAATTCTACAAATATATTAACAAGAGGAAGAGGGCCAAGAAGAATCTCTGTCCTTTACAGGATGCGACAGAATATTGCCACCAAGGATGAGGATAAGGCTGAGGTACTTAATACCTTCTTTGCCTCAGTATTTTACACCCAGATCAGTTATCCTCAAGCTACTTGGCCCCCTGAGCTGGAAGACACCTATGGTGAGCGGAATAAACCTCCCATAACTCGGGAGGAAACAGAGGAAACCTTCTACTCCACTTGGACAACCTGTGTGGCCGGATAGGATCCAACCGAAGGTTCTGAAGGAGCTGGCAAAAGTGTTCATCAAGAACACTTCTTCCTATCATCTATTAGTGGTCCTGGTCAACAGGGGAGGTCCCAGATGACTAGAGACTTGCAAATGTGCTTCTCATGTACAAAAAGGGTCAAATAGAGGATTCAGGGAATTACAGGCCTGTCAGCCTGGCTGCGGTATTGGGGAAGGTTGTGGAGCAGATCATGCTGAGGATGATCATGCAGCATGGGTGTGACAACCAGAGGATCAGGCTCAACCAACATGGGTTCATGTAAGGCAGGTCCTGACCAACCTGATCGCTTCCTGTTACCAGGCTACCCACCTAGTGGATGAGGGAAAGGCTGTGGACGTGGTCTACTTAGACTTTAGTAAGGCCTTTGACACTGTCTCCCAGCTGCATTCTCCTGGAGAAGCTTGGCAGCTCTTGGTTTAGGCAGGTGTACTCTCTTCTGGTTGAAAAACTGTCTGGATGACCATACCCAGGGAGTGGTGGTGAATGCGATCGAATCCACTGGTCACGAGTGGTGTTCCCCAGGGGTCAGTGTTGGGGCCAGTCCTCTTTAATATCTTTATCAATGGGTCTGGATGCAGGGATATAATGCACCCTGATCAAGTTTGCAGGTGACACCAAGCTGGGAGGAAGAATTATCTGCTTGAAAGTGGGAGGCTCTACAGAGGGATCTGGACAGATTGGATCAATGGACTGAGGACAATTGTATGAGGTTCTACAAGGCCAAATGCTGGGTCCTGCACTTTGGTCACAACAACCCCATGCAGCGCTATAGGCTTGGGGCAGAGTGCTTGTAGAGCTGTGTGACAGAAAAGGATCTGGGGGTGTTGGTTGACAGTCAGGTGAACGTGAGGCAGCAGTGTGCCCAGGTGGCCAAGAAAGCCAACGGTGTCCTGGCTTGTATCAGGAATAGTGTAGCTAGCAAGACTAGGGAAGTGATTATCCTCCTGTATTCAGTGCTGGTGAGGCTGCACCTCAAATACTGTGTTCAGTTATGGGCCCCTCACTACAGGAAAGACCCGGAAGCACTGGAGCATGTCCAAAGAAGGGCAATGAAGCTGGTGAAGAAGCTTGAGCACAGACCTTATGAGGAGCGACTGAGGAAGCTGGGGTTATCTAGCCAGGGGAAGAGAAGGCTCGGGGAGACCTTATCGTTCTCTGCTGCTACTTGAAAGGAGGTCGTAGTGAGGGATGGATCAATCTCTTCTCCAAAATACCTACCAAAAGGAGGACAAGAGGAAATGGCCTCAAGTTGTGCCGGGGGACATTCAGTTTAGATATTAGGAAAAATTTCTACATGGAAAAAGTGACGAAGCCTTGGAACAGGCTGCCTAGGAAGAGGTGGAGTCACCATCCCTGACAGTGTTCAAGAAACGTATAGAGGAGACACTTAGGGACATGATTTAGCAGGCATGGTGTTGAAGGGTTTACAGTTAGACTCAATGATTTTGAAGGTCTTTTCCAACCATAGTGATTCTATGATTCTAAGGTTAAAGAAGAGTTTATTTTGCTAGTTTAGAGTTGCATTTCATGTCAATTCTATAAATGGTACAATAAAGACTTTTATTCAGGATTTTTTTCCTGTCTTTCTATTTAAGCCAAGGTTGACAAATAGATATTGTTAGAGGGAAGAGGTGAAATGGGGTAGTGTATTGGAAGGAAATTGCTAGATTAGAGGATGGTAAGTATTGGTTCATTATCCTAAAAAAGATGTAACATTAGTGTTTAGCTGGCACCACCATACAAGGTGAAGGGTGGGCCAAGTAGAGGAGAACTAGCAACAGATCCTTTTGTGGAGAAAGGAAGGTTTCAATCAAGGAATAGGGAGAAGAAAGGAAACCTGCAAAATTAGAGTTCAAAAGAAATATTTGCGTAAAAGGATAAGAAACTGCATAGGTAGTGCATGTAGTGGCTAGTGGCCAATGGTATAAAAAGCAAAAGAATTCAAAGGGGATTTTGGATGCAGTTAATGGTTTGGCTAGCACTTAGATAGGTTGTTACAGCTCAATTATCTACCAGCATTTATTTCTTTTACTCAAGGCTGTGTAGACTGAAGAATATTGAAAATGCAACAGGAGGAAGGAAAGCTTATTCATGTCACTAGTTGCAGTTCATTTTAAAAAAAAAGATGATTATGGTAGCTGAGAAATGGGTGGTATTGTGTTTGTAAGATATAAGAAAACCATGATTCTGTATGAACATTTTTTTTAACCGTTTTTTGCACAGCTCATAATATTTTGTATTTCACGTCTTGGGGACATCACATTGTTATTTGGTGTTGGGCAGAGGTGGGAATTCTGTTGCTGTTGCAGTATCACTGCTTTTGTATATATTTATGTAAGTATATATAAGTATAAACAAATGTAAAATAAAATTATGATGAGCTTTTTGGTTTTTGGAAGAATTTATAATACATAAAATTGTGCCAGAACTGTGATCTTTCCTTTGCTTAAAAGATGAAGGTAAGCATTATTTTCCTCTTTGCTTTTCAGGCATCTGTTAGCAAAGGTACTAGACCAGTCAAATTGCCAACGTTTGCAAGAAGACCTGCGTCTCCTTCAAATTCTAGCAACTTCAATCATTCTCCTCATTCTTCTGGTGGATCCAATAACATTGCAGGAATTAACAGACATGGAGGAGAACTGCATAACAGATCAGGTACTATGTCGTTTTTAGTATAGGAGTTATGAGTCAGATTCAAGTAAAATTAATGTTCATGATTGAAGAAGAGTGTATTAAACTTTCTCTGAGGACTTCTACTGCTGTGTAAAACTTTAGGTGAAGCTCCCATAAACTTTCTTGCAACAGCACTGGACTTGTGGATACATGAACATTTAGCGCACAGATAAGAGAGCAAAGGGAACAAAAGCCTTCAACTGGTTATGGAAGTCATGCAGGTTAACCTCTCTCTCAAAGTCCTCATTAATTTTATTGTGTCCCAGCCACAACGATTCAGGTATATGCTGATGATGTTCATTGCAACATATATTTTGTGTAGTTTAGTCTGTTTTCTATACCTACCTATCTTTTTTTTTTTTTTTTGCTTTCATGTTCTATGTCAATTAAAAACAAAGCTGCAAGCTTTGCATATGCCAGCTGTGAAGAACTTCTGGTGAAGCAATTTGTGAAACTTGGCTTCCAAGAATATGAAAACCAAATGTATACATGTGTATCTTCAACTAACTTTGGCTCCTCTTATCTTTGTAACCTCTCATATGAGCTGATGAACAGCTCTGAATCTCCTAATTCTCTCTAATTCATGCAGTTAGTTTTTAAGTGGGAGTGAATGGTGGAGAGAGATGAATTGAGATTTAATGCTTTTTTAATGATTGTTTGCTTGACTTTATTTTTGTTTCTTAGGTGGTAGTGCAGATAATGTTTTGTCTCAAATCGCAGCCCAAAGAAGAAAAGCAGCAGGCTTATCTGAACAGAAACCCAGCCAACATCATAATCCGGTCCAGTTGACCCCTTCATCTACCCTGTCTGATTTGCAGTGTACTCAGGTTGTTGGCAATGGGCATGTTTTAAAGGTATAGCTTAATATTACTTTTTCTGCTTTGAAAATGGTTAGTCTTCATAGAACATGTCTTTGGATGACTGGCTAATGAATGGGGGTGAGTGGCTAGTACAACTGCATGATATTGCACAGCTTAAAGTGGGTGAATTATTGTTATGGTAACGGAAACGCTTCAGTTCCACAGACTTTACTTTTAATTATAAATCCACAAAAGAGCAGACCTAAATATAAAACATAAGAAAACATAAGAAAATTTTAAACATGAAGTTTTTAAATCTTCAAAATCTGCATATAGGCAAGTTGGAAAGCAGCAGCAGCATCTTCAAAAACAGGAAAAATCATGTATAAAAATAAAATTAACTTATTTTTAAGGCAAAATCAGTAACAGATGTGATATATTATTATGAAATATTCGAGTTTATTAACAAAGGGAAACCTCAAATTTCAGAGTGCGCATTACAGAGAGCATGAAGTCTTCAGCATTTTGGCTGGAGAAACAAAAATTGTCATAAAGTAATTTGATTACACTTGCCGTCTCATTCTGCGATGTCTTATATGGTGCCAGTTTAAATATGTGTCCTTAACCAGTTAATGTCAATGGTAAAGAAGTTAAAAACTTTTTGACTGATTTAATCAGTGGAATTGCTGAAGGAATCAGAATATTCAACAATCAGAAAAAGAAAAATCTGCAACTACAAATGCCAGAACATTTTTCATGAACACTCAATTTGTCTCTGATTTGTCAGTTTTTTGCTGCACGGGACCACTGCTCACTTTTCGCAGATGAGACTAGGGTCTAAAATGTATAAATGTGCTTGACCCCAAAAGCTGTGGACTCATGCTGGTTCTTTGACACACTGTATAGCCTTTCCTCCCCTTCTACCCTTACATATTGTTCCACAAATCGTAGATGATCTCTCTCTTTCTTTGCCGTGGACATAGCCACTTTATTATCTTCTTCCTTTATTGAAGTCTCCTTTACAGGTACCAAATGTTTCCTCTTTCAGAAGTGCTCTCACCAGTATGTTTCTAATTATAGTCTCAGCACTTACATTTGGCTTGTTTTTGCTTTGGAAATAATTTCAGACATGAAAAAATGGTTGTGTGCCTCAAAAACCTGCATTGTGCTTTTTTGCCTTTTTTCCCAGTTTTAGTAGTTACTCTAATAAGAGAGATAAGAGCTAAGTATGAGAGAGATGCTTATGAGTTTTGATCTGCAAATTTAGGGCCTGTTGCTTTAAGTGGCCCGATGCTATTAAGAAGTCAAATTACTGTTCCCACACACAGTGGAATATATTTGGGGATAAAGCAGTGAAATGTAGTGTCCTGCAGATTGCCTTCTGTGAGGGAAGCTTGTAATATTGCTAGGCATGTTTTAAACAGAAAGAATGAAAATGTGTCTCAAAGGCAATAGAAGCACTTCATCTACACATGTAAGAGCAGAGGGCTTTTGGTCAACCCAGCAATGGCACATCTTGTAGTCAGCATGGATCTCATCGTAGACATTTGTGTACCACATTTTTGAGACTAGTGTTTCCTAGACAACAGTGTCCATTGAAAATGCTCTGTCACATAAAGATCCACACTGGCTGTAAGAGCATAAAAGCCTGGTTTGCTGTAAACCAACTACCTAAATAAATGCTGAGATTTTAACCTCCGTATCCATAATGGAAACACTTTTGCCCTTCCATTAGAATCGTGCAGTTAAACTTGGCCATATGTGGTCTAAAAAGGGCAGTGATGTTACCCTGATGAATTTTGCAAAATCGCTCTTTGAGAGAGAGACTGTATGAGTCCTGAAAGAAAAGAAACTGAGTAATAATTTATAGGATAATGTAATTTAAACACAGACAGAGCATTTGAGAAGGAAGAGCATCTGCAGCACAAGTAACATAATACAAAGGAAATTTAAGAATGTAATAAGAGACAAAAATAAACTGACTTGGTGCTCTGCCAAAAGATTCTCAAAAATACTGTATCACGCTGCGTAACTTGTAGTCATCCCAGAAACAAGGCCAAGGACTCAGTACATTCTGGGAGAGTGTAGCGTACTGGAAGGATTTTACCAGTGTTTATCCTCTGTCTTTTAAATCTTCATCTCATTCACTAACCACAATTATTCTCTTTATACCATAACACAGAAACAAAATTGTAGAGATGCAGGAATAACAATCCCTGTCTCTTCTTGACTTCTTGTATCCCTCAGCCTTTTTCTTCTGGGTTCTTTGTAGCAGCTTGACTGGTTTAAGAAAAAACTAAGCTAAAATTAAGCTAAATTCAGAAATCTAGGAGAAAGTCATCTATACTACTTTTTGGGTTATATAATGAAAATGTTGAAATCTTTGAAGTAGTAGATACATTCAGGAATTTAGGAGATGAGGCATAGCATCTGGTTATGCAAGAGGCAGATATATGCATACATTCATGTGCAATAGAGACATATATAAATATTCTTGCTTCTCATCTGTCACTCATCCATTTCTCCTTTTTCCATGCCTCCACATCTTTTATTTGTGCAATGAATATGTTCTGAATCATTTCACTGATGTTAAGTGTAATCACAAGCTTAATGATTAACTGGAAAATAAAACTGTAGTGCAGCAAAGGTGTTCAAATACACCTGAAATGTGAGTTTTTTTCTTACTGCATATTTGTAGTTAAGCCACCTTGAAGTGCAACTTTAAATTGGGTTCTGATACACTTTGAAAAGCATAGTATTTAATTAAATCTGTGAATGAAAATGGCCTGTGTTCAGAGATAAAATAATTTAAGCTTTTATAAAGAGAATATTGCAGTGCATGTGTACAATACTGCTTTAAGGAAAATTGTCCCTAATAAAGGTATTTTTCTGGATGTATTTGAAGGGGACAGATTCTTATCTCAAATAAATTGGTATTGCTCTAATTATTTCAACCTCAGTAAGGCAGAAACATATAGTTGTAACTACATGTTCTGCAGAAATAATGTGAACCTTAGAAAATGCTGAAGAATCGTAACAGTTTATTTTAAGCAATGTTTTTAACTAAAATTATTGTATCCTTACCTGTAGCAAAAGCTGGAAGTGACTAAAAGACCTCCATCTGGTGGGACTTCATCTACATCTAAAAGTACATCACCAACTCTCACACCTTCCCCGTCCCCCTCCACATCTCCTAAGGTTCCCAGTGGAGAGTCCTCCCTCTCTCCTACTCACAGACCGGCCAAGAGCAACGGTTCTAGCAGCGGTACTATCACTGAAGATGGTGAGTGGGTTATGGTGGTTACATGAGATTCCTTGAGAAGACAAAGTGTTAGAAGCTATAATTTTACTGAATTATTGTTTATCTCCGGGGAAATTTTCTTTCTAGAAAAAATATTTTAGTATTTCTTCCTGTGAGATTAGTATTCCTGCGGTAGCTGTATCTTTTCTTTTCTTGAAAGTTGTTATCCCCTTTCATTTAGAGGAAGCTTATTACTACCTCAAAGCTAGTACAGAACACTTAAGTTACTCATATTGCCTCGTTTCTTCCTCTCTGGCATCAGTCCTGTTTTTTCACATTATAATTGAGAGTAGAACATATCCTTTCTTTGCAATTGAATTGAAAATATATTTTTAATAAATACAGTGAAAGATATTGTGTAGTAAGATGGTTTTAATTTATGATAGCAACATGCAACTGACTTTTTTAGAGTTATATTACATTATTTTTGAATTGCAACGATAACCTTCTTTTAGCATTATTTTAATTTTAGGAATAAGAAAGGATAATAAAAATATTACTACTTTTCCAAGGTGTCTGTTTTTTCCAATGAGATATGTTGAACTCCTAGATCAAAATTACAATCCTTGATTAAAAAAATGTCCAGTTTCTGCTTGGAGACAGAATATCACTTCATTTTTTTTTCTTCTGTAAATGTGTCAAAAAGTTGAAGAAATAAGCCCACGTGATTTTATAATCTTTTAAATAAGCAAAAGGGATATCTTTTCTCTACTTTCTCTGAGGCCTCCTGTGTTTGCTTTCTGAAAGTGTCAGGATATACAGATATGCCCACCATATATGCTTGTTAATTGTTACTTGTCCAAGTTGATGTTAGAGAGAGGTGGTGTTTGACCTGCTTTATGTTCTCACAACATAGTTTAGATATAATATTTTCTTCAGGAGTCAGTACAATATGTTAATACTGTTTTATAATGATGACAATGTAAGTGTTGCTTGTTTAGAAATATATAGAGGGAAGAGAAATCACTGTAAGATACAGGGAAGTTCCCCAGGATGCCAACCTGTTACAGTCTCACTTTGAAAGACAGCTCTATGGCTGCACCAAAAAGCATACATTTGTGCGTACAGTAAGTTTCCTCTGTATCTGAGGTGTGGGAATTGTTAGGAATGGTACTATGTATTGTTTCTTTTAGGTAACCAGTTGATGGAACATCAGCAGTTTATCCCTACTCTGAGAAGCAGTGATGTGGAGAATCATGAAAGGAGAAACCATGTGACAGTAAGAGAAGGCTGTGAAAATTTGGAGAAAGGTAATTTGGTGAGGTTTCGGATTTTATTAAGACTTAGTATATAGCCCAGGATTTGGGAGGGGGAAAAGAGGAAGAGAAACTGCAAAAGGCCTGCAGGTGTTATCAAAATGTGTAAAACGTGTTAGATGTTACGGCTGAATGTGACAACAAGGCTCTGGACTCAAAGACCTCGAAAGTTTCTTCCATCATCCCCTCATATAATTTAGGTATAACAGTGTGCAGAAAAATGAGAGGGCTAACTAATAATCTAAAAGGAAGAAAGGTTGATGAGATGTATAGTGTTGCTAATACAACTTTTGTACAACTTTGGGAAAATAAAGCTTTTAGTCTAACTCTGTGGCAACCTTTATAAATAATTCTAAGCATAACAAATTAAATGACTTGGAGGTTTAAAAAAAATCCAGAATGGTGAATAGGAAAGTCTGTCTGTCTCTCGATATACTTGTTGTCTTTGGTAAGGTAAGAGTGAATCTTTCATTCGTTTCTCGTATCAGTGAAGGAAAGGGACAATCAAAATGGGAAGAAGAGAAATAAAACCAAAAATTATTTAGGAATAGAATAGTGCTTTCTTAATAAAGAAAGTTTATGAGGAATATTAAATATATCGTTTTAAGTGGTTGATCATAGTTTAAATATATGTTGAGAGGAGTGCCTGTTTGGTCCTCCAACTTTTTATTTCCCCAGTCTTTGACAGGAGAACAAATATCCAGTGGTGAAGTAAATTCTGTCCAAGTTTCATCTTAAGTAGAATTCAACTTCATGTGTTCAAAACTAGATGTTCGGCAGTTAAAGACGTTCAGATATGCACTTGCATCAGCATTTTAAATGAGTGACTAGGTGTTTGCTTGTTTGCCCTGCATTTTGCCCTTCTAGATCACGATAGGGATTCAGTTTATTCCTTCATTGAGGAGTTTTGGTGTCTAACTTGGATGATTTGGGTCAGCCACTGGGACAAAGCACTGGCATTTTAGGTGCTGTTGTGCCTGCGTTGTCCTAAGTATTTTTGCTCTTTTTTGCAGTCCTTTTCATGAGGAGGAAGGAGAAACAACATAGGAAACAACATAGGGACAACATAGGAAAGGGAGGCAACATAGAGATTTTATTCTGTCAGACTAGATGGAATTACAGGTAGTAACAGAAAATACAGGAAGTATGGCAGAACACAGTAAGAATACTTTCATTTCTGACGCAGAGTCATAATGAACTTTTTTTTAATGTTATCTTACATGACTACATGATGTTTGTTCTCAGCAGTTATATCTTCCAGAAAGATCATTAAAATTGATCTATTTGATGCCTCTTTCTTCTTCTTTTCTGTTATTACAGATGAGCTGACTGGCATTCTTAAAAAATTGTCTCTTGAAAAATATCAGCCTATTTTTGAAGAACAAGAGGTAAATTTTTAAAATTATTTTCTAGTTTTATAGAAAACAAGTTGTGACACATATTGCATCAGAATTTTGATACAGAATCTCAACTTTATTATTTAAAGTTTTCAAACATGTGGTTGCAGAGAGTACTTTGAAACGTAGACCAAATGGTAGTATATATGAAGAGGTCTACCTGAGTAGATAAATAGTATCTGTGATGCAATAAATCTGGCAATTGTGACCGTCATTTTCATCTCGGATATTAGTGACTTGTACTGTGGCTGCAAATTTTGTTTTTCTGTAGTGCTCTACATCCAAACTGCAATATTCTGAAAGATTCCCCAAATGTCTCTTTTTTTCTTTTCTTTTTTTTTCTCCCTGTTGTTATGTACTATTTTGTCTGTGTATGTCTGTATCAACACAGAAATGGAAACTAGAACCTCACTTACAAATTGAGGACAGCAAGGTGTGACACAACCACTATGGTGTCTGCTCTCTCCTTCTCATCCAGTATGAATAAGAGGAAGTAGATGTATTATGGGGAACTTGAGCATTGTTATAGACAAGGCCTATCGAACAGGTTTGCCTGAAGGATGCAATGAAGGAAACAATGCTGAAAATAATTACAAATAATTCTTATAACTTTTAAGATAAAATATCAACTGTGAGCAATAATTGTATTTCTTTGCCAAAAGATAGAGAGCAGTGAATTGACATTGCTGCAGTTTATAATTTCTTGCTAAGAAATAAGTTCCTAAGTTTCTCAGTTCTTGCTGTGTTCCCTGATGTTACTGAATAATAAGCATCCAAAACAAACATTACTTGGCTGCATCGCAGCACATTGTGCTTATTGTTGTTCTCCCACATGATAGTGGAGAGAGCGTTTGCTATGTGCAGAGGTTATCACTGTGAAAACTTAGATGTTTGTTTTTACCACAGCCTTATGAATGCATTGGTATAATAAAAACTGATGTATGAACAACCCTCCAGTTATCTTTAAAAGCCACTGGAAAAGTACATACAAAATTCTGAGAGTCCCAAATACTAAAAAGCAAATAAGGGAAAGAAATTGAGAGAAGAATCTTAGGGACATCAAATGGATTATTAAAATAGATAAGTACCTTTGTGAGGACTATATTTTGTATTGACTCTGCCTGGCAAAAAAACATACGTGTGTACAAAAAAAATCCAGAAATATTTTGAATATTTTTGAATATTTTGAATTTTGAAACTGAGTTATTAACAACTGATTAGAAACTCAGTAACAGAGTGATAAAGTGAGTACTATTTGATGCTGTCAATTCATTAAATGTTTTTGTGTGCATATTTACAGTAAATATAATGCAGTCGAAGAAGTTGCATTCTTCAGGAGGAAATTTATGCTTAAAGGATTATATGTGTCTCTTTCAGGTGGATATGGAAGCCTTTCTTACACTTACTGATGGTGATCTGAAAGAGCTGGGTATTAAAACTGATGGGTCAAGGCAGCAAATTCTGGCAGCTATTTCTGAACTGAATGCAGGAAAGGTATATTCTGATGTACTGTACTTAAACCAATTCAAGGTTTGCTTTTATTGCTAATTCAAAATTAATTTGAAAATTCAGTTGCAGATATTTGGGAAATTCAGTTGCAGATAGAAAAGCCAAATTATGTTTTCCTAACAAATTAGTTAATGCATCTGATCCGTGAAAAATACCTTCCTCCTTGTTTTTTCATTAGCTCTTTCCTTGTTCCGTGACTGCACAGCTCCTTTACAAATTATTGTCAATTGTATCAGAAGCTGATTGTAATATGTCTATTGGTCTTACAGGTACTGAATTGCAATGTCTGTGATGCTAAAAAAAACCTTGTAGTCCAGCTCCAGAATAGAAGATACCTTTTATTCTCCTGAACAATTTTTTGATTTCTCTCTGATTAGATAAATAGTACTTTTCTCATTCCCTATATTTTTCTTGCCTTTTAATTTTGTAGTACATGTACAAATGAGATAAAAATTTCATGCAATAAGCCATGTGCTTGTCAGAGAGGTTATGGTCTGGAGTGTACCTGTAATTAGGCCTGCTGACACTTTTCAGCTGCTGCTTTGGTTTCAAGATCCAATCTCTCTGGCATTGGAAGCTCAGAGCACAAAACCCATAAAGGTAATAGCTTCCCAAAGCTAGGATCAACAGGAGCAAGTGATCATGTTAAAAATTAGGGAGGTGAATGATTCTCCATGCAAAATATTTGCGAAGAAAATTCAGAAAATACTTGAACTACTCTCTGATATAAAGCATTGTAGTAATTTGTTCCTGAACTCTTGGATCTATCTGATATAATTACTAATAGCGCACTATGAAGGTCAGTCTATGTTTCCACATTTTTGTTAACTCTTAATAGTAAATTTTGAAATAGAAATTTAAGAATGCTTTAATTTATATTGCTTTCACAGGGACGAGAAAGACAGATTTTACAAGAAACTATACACAACTTTCACTCTTCCTTTGAGAGCAGTGTTAGTAACACACGACCTCCTGGCAATTCCCAGTGTAAGTAACACCTGAAATTGTTCAAACAAACATATAAATACTTATAGTTAAGAAGTTTTTCCTCAAATGTAAGCAGAACTTCCTGTATTTCAGTTTTTGAAAGTCTTTCTGTCCGTTTGCTCTTGTCCTGTCTCTGGTCACCACTGAAAAGAATCCAGCCTCTTTTCAAGAGATGTCAAGAGTCGCTTGACACGTGCCCTGGAGATACTTGTATTCACTGATAAGATCCCCTCTCTTCTCTTCTATAGGCTAAACAGGCCCAGCTCTTTCAGCCTCTCCTCGTAAGAGAGATACTCCAGTCTCTTGGAGTAATTACTGGACTATCTCCAGTAATTTCACATCCCTTTTGTACTGGAGAGCCCAGAAATGGATACAGTACTCCAGATGTATCCTCACCAGGGCTGAATCAAGGGATCACCTCCCTTAGCCTGCTGGCAACTATCTTCCTGATGCAGCCCGGGATACCTCTGGCCTTCCTGGCCACAAGGGCACATTGTTGGCTCATGGTTAACTTGCTGTCCATCAGGACTCCCAGGTCCTTTACTGCAGAGCCACTCTCCAGCCCTACAGCCCTACCCTGTACTGGAATATGGGATTATTTCTCTGTAGGTGCAGGACCCTGCACTTGCCTTTGTTGAACTTCATGAGGTTCCTTTCCCCCAAATCTCCAACCTGTCGAGGCCTCTCTGAGTGGCAGCAGAGCCTTCTCTTCTGGCTCTGGGAAGAGAACAGCCACTCTTCCCAGTTTTGTATCATCATTACTTGCTAAAAAAACAAATGTGGCAAACATGTTAGCTAACGGTTTTCTGAGTTAAGGATATATGCACATATTTGTGTCCTTTCTTCAAACTGTAGGGAAGATTTCAAGGTAAAACAGGTGTCTGTAGGTCCAGTGCCCCGCCTACCATAACTCTTCAACACTCATAGCTAAAAAAGAAAAGAAAATGGCCCATTATCTATCAGAACTGAACAAATTGTGGATTTAGGTACCAAAAGTGAAACTGTCGACTTTCCAGTTACAAGATAAATGAGAAGTTAATTATGGCAATGACGAAAAAGCATTATGATGTTATTCAATTTGTGATAAATGTAATTCTTTGTACTTATTCTGACCTTGCATTTTCTCTTTATGTATTTATTGCATGTTGCATGTTCATATATGTTTACATCTGTGTACCTGTAGATGCCTAGGTTAATAAAAGAAATTACAAAATAACATGGAGGAGAATGGCAAGTGGTTCATAGGTTTACTTTCCATTTCCATCCTTGAATTTAAAAGTACTTGTGGGAAAGGTACTGGAATAATGAGAACAGTGAAAAGGTCTGTAGTAGCAAATGACCTCTTCACAGGTGCATTTCGCTTTTCATACCATCTCCATACAGGAGAGGGCTTAAAATGAGTAAAATATGAGTAAGGGGTCAAAGTGTTGGAGTCTGGTGTAGCAATGAAATTACAAAACCTGAGCCTGTTCGTGATATTTGTGGAGTTGGTCTGTCGTCTTTATTATCAAACTGAGAGTCTAGTGTTTGCAGGTTGTCATTGTGGTGTTTTGTTTTATATTTTCTTCTCCATTACAGCACCTGGCTGCTCTATAAAACCACAGGAAGCCGTTCCTTCTAAAAGATAGATACTGGAAAAAGATCTTTTCTTCTGATGAGTCTTGGGCCTAGCTTAGTGAGTTCAAGTGTACAGATGAAACTGAAAAATTAGCGCTAACTGCACCCATAAAGAATGTTCAGGAATGTTCTGCAGTAATGTCTATGGTTCCAGTCCTACAAAACCACAAAGAAAAATGAAATGAGATTGCTTATAAAGTTCAGCCTAAGTGTTGAAATGTGTGGCACTTCACTGGTTTGGATTCAAGAATAACAAGTAAGAAGAGCAGAAGGATGAATAACCTTATGAAAAGATAACATACTTTTTCATTCTGATCTTTGGAGATGGCCATGGATGATGAAACCATAGGAGACCTACATGGACACACTCAAGAACAAGAAAAACATGGAAGAAGACAGTGAAAATCACGGCAAATTACAAGGTCTTCTGCTTGTGAATATCGCTAAACCAAATATGGCTGTGGAGTTTTTTGTGGATACAAATAAAAGTCTGAGTTTAAAATGTAATAGTTTTGTGAAAAAGGAATATAAAGGAAAGGTAATGTTGTATTCTTCATTAACTAAATTATGCTGTATCTGACCATTATTAAGAGATTAGAACAGCAGTAAAAGTAAATTTGAAATACTTATTTGTAAAAATAGTACTTTATTTAAGCATAACCTGTCACCAGTATTTAAACAGAAATGGTGTTAAAGTATTTTATGTTGTTGATCTAATGTTTTGAGAATAAAACCATTTAACTGAACTTGGCGTTTTTTGAATGGTAACACTGGCAGAAACCATGGTTACTTTCTGGTTAGGACAATTAGAGCCTGGTAGTGCATGGAGGTCTCTGGTGGTTATGTTATTAACATTTTGGATATTAGTAGTATATCCATGTTTAAAACAAGCCTTATTCCATTTTATTTTTCAGTGCTTTCTATAACAAGAGTTACCTGTAGAGAGTTATCTGTAGCACCATCAACATTTAATGGATTTTATGCTCATGTTTAGCATGTTTTTATGGCTAAGGAAGACCAAGGCTAAAGAAGAAATTGTGCTTTTCATGCATTAGGATTAATTTCATTTTTCAGATAAAGATACGTAATTTCTGATAGCTGCTACTAGAGATGACTGACTAAAGCTGCATAGATACATAAAAATGCGGGATGCAAACCATATGCTATTAAGGTGTTTTGTCTTGTCCTTTCCGAAACAATAATACAGACATGTTTTAATTAAAACATTTCAAAATGAGTCCAGAAATAATTACAGTTTTTTATAAGAGCTAGGAAATAGCTTGTTACTAAAACAGGAAAACTGTGCATTGAGAAACATGTGTCCCTGGAGCTGTGATGTCAAGAGGGCTGTAGATGACAGTGACAGAAACTGTAGCTATATTGGAATATGAGTGGAGCAGTGTATGTTGCCCCTTTTAGAGGTAAAAACATGCAGTTCTGCCTTAGAGCCTCGGTGGATTCGAGTGACTTGAGAGATCCTACTCTCCTCATTGTGCTTAAGCCAAATCGCCTTGCCTACTACTTTTGCAGTAGTGACTAAGGCCCGGGGGCCCTGGGGCAGCATAATTTCCCAGTGTAGGATTATGTATCTTTTTCTACAGTAGGCAATCCAAATAACTGAAATATCATGCAGTCTTATCAAGCCACCTAATAGGGAAGCCTTAAGGGAATAGAGCTTCAGCTGCTCCTGTTGTTATGTGCCTTACTTAAAGTCTTTTTCTTCTGAAAGGAGAAGAATCTACCTGCAAGAAATCAGGGGTGAGACTTTGTTATTTGTAAATAATTGAAATAGTCATCCTTAGTATTTTTCATGCCTCAGCAAATGTCTCAGAAGCAAGTTAGATTCTCAGGGGAGCAACTTTGATTTTCACAGTGAAAGAGAACATAAAAGTTCTTGCAAACAGGTTTCTTTAATACCAAGATCACCTCAGTTCAGAATTGCTTGGCTTGCCTGACTCTGACACTAATAGCCCCAAACTTGCCACTTCTGGATTTCAGTGTATTTCAAAGCCCTTATGGCAGTACAAGGGTACATTTCCTGGGAACAAGCTTTCTCCATTAAACCTGAAACCTTTTATGCTATGGCTAAAGCTCATTTGGAATGCTGAATTTCCAGCCTCTCAGAAGTTTTTATTATTGAAATAAGCTGCTAATGCAGTGTCATCCACAGAGAAGAATTCTTTCGAAGTAGTTTTGGCCACCTGTCATTCCCAGCATTCCAGTGTCTGTTAAAACTTGAGTTAACTAAGAGTCATAAAAACAAGAGCAAATAGATTGTGAAGTATAATTGTCATGCTCCCAAAACTACATCTACGCATTTTAGTTCTCCACTCAGTTCTCATTAGTAGAAGACTCAAGCATGTCTTGAGTGATCTTCAGAGGACTATCATGGCTGCCAAGAGTGACTAGGGCTGTGTTAGCACAGGATTTTTGAGGGTGATAACAAGACAAACGTGAATGTAGACAAAGCAGCCCATTGCATGAGCTTCTTGAAAATGGTCTAAAATATTTGTGTTATATGGCTGTGATTTTTTGTTACTCATAAGCTGCAGCCCCGCAGAACTATTCCCAGAGCTTGCAGAGATTTCAGTTGTGCTGAGCTGCCCAACAAAATCACTTCTTGCACAGAGCAATCAGCAAAGTTGCAATGGATTGCATCATTGTTGCTCTGCATTCAATTGTTCTCAACAGATTTCTTTACGTATATTTCAGTTTGTGCCCACTTCCTCTTGTCCTGTCACTGGGCACCAGCATCACCATGCACCAGATTTTTGTTCCGTCATCTTTTTGGTTTTGCCAGGAGGGTGTATGGTTGGCTTATTTCAGCTTTTTGCTGCCAGGACCCCTAGGTCCTACTCTTCAAAGCTGCTTTCTAGATGGTTACCCTGCAACCTCCCCCTCCCCCCTGTCCACCCCCTTGGTGTGAGATTATTTCTGCCCAGGACTCTGCACTTCCCGCTGTTGAAATTCATGATATCCCCTTCATTCTCCTCTGCCCATTTCTCTAGCCTGTCAAGGTCCCTCTGAATGGCAGCACAGCCTTCTGGTGTATCAGGCACTCCTCCCAGTTTTGTATTACCTGCAAACTTACTGGTGGGGCATATTGTGCCACCATGAATGAAGATGTTAAACAGGATTGAACATCCCCAGGGAAGTATCGCTGGTGACTAGCCTCTAGATGGACATCCCACCAGGTCCTTTATTCTTGTGTGTTTTATGTAGTGTGGTTAAAGGGTTTCAGCCAACCATTGTTGACACTTCTTTGTGTCTTATTGGCATTAAAGCAAGCCAACGTCATAATGAAATGGTCAAGATCTGCTTTAAAATGCTGAGACTTTGGTAAGCTTTGAATATTCTGAGAAAAACATAGTACATGCTGAACACTGAAATACCTTGTGCTTTCCAGACTGATCTAACATCGCTCTTAGCATTCACCACATTGACATATATAACAAATAAACTAAATATATAAATTCAAATAAATGCTTAGTTAGGAAACTCGTTACTAGATTTAGAAACAGATAACAATGCCTGAAAGAATAGAATGGCTCTTATTTTAGTTTAGCCACAGATGTATCTTCTGAAATGTCCTGAAAATTTAACCTTGACAATCAATCAAGGATATTGACTTATAACATGATTTGTTGTCATTTTGTTACCCACATTCAAAGGACAGCAGTGTCCTCAAACTTATTTGTCCCTTGTGGCAGCCACTGAATTTGAGGATTTTTGTGACTAAGCACTGATTAAGCACAGTAACATTTTTTTTTCTGTTTTTGGCAAATATGTTTGCTGAGAAAGTCTAACAAAATACTGAAATGTCCTTTTGTACCCTCCAGTAAATAAGTGCAAAACAAAGAGAGAAATACTGGCCTAATTCTTACTGGCCTAACTGTGTTACCGGACTAGGATGATTCACCTTGTTTAAAACTAAGTAGAACAGATGTCCACTGTATCTTGATAGGATGGGAGGAAATCAGTAGGCTAGACAGAACAGACAGTATTCTTTAATGAAGGATGACCTGTAGCTGCTCATTAAAATCAGATTTTTTTTTTACGCATTGCAAACTTGGCAAGAAAACTCAAGGACCATGTATCCTTAAATGAACTGCCTTTACTGTAATACTAAAAATCATGCCCATAAGTCAAAAAGACCCTTGCCTAGGTGAAGACCCTTCCCCTGAGTATGTGTAATAGTGGGCACAAAGAGTAAGCAAAATTGTAATTGTGTGTAAATTACTATCTAATCAGTGTAAGAGGAAAGTACTTGGGATTACTGCATGTGTAAATATGGTTTGAAAAGTTGGGAGTGTGTGCTCAGTTTGTGGGAAATCACTGAATACCCGGCCTTGCGCTGCTCCAAAATAAACAAGCAATTGTCTCTCCTGCCTGTGTGATTATTGGCTCATTGTACACTGGGCAGTTCATCCGCTTTTTGGATATTTTTGGTGGTCCAGGTGGGACCACTGTAGAAGACTTGCCCCCAAATCTTTTGTTTGGGGGCTCCATGAGCATCCTCCCCGGCCTGAGTGGATAAGCAAGTCAAAGGTGCAACACATCTTTTTAATAACAACGTGTGCATAAAAATGTGATCTACCTTGGATGTGAAATATTTCAGGGAGAAAGAGCTAGGAACAGAAAGAAAGGAGGTGATATGTCAAATTGTCCTCCTCCTCTTCTTTCCACCAAATCAAAGAAAGAACTTAGAGAATTTGGGGGGACGACCAGATGAGTCGCCTGTGGATAGGCTGTCTATGGATACCTAATTTTGGATTAACTGCCAAAGCACTGTATGAGGCCGTCAAAGGAATGGACGCTAGAATGGTGGAAGGACTTTGGTGAATTAAAGGTTGCCCTTATGAGTGCTCCTACCTTCCAAACCTGACTAAACATTTTGAACTTCATGTGTATGAGAAGGAACATCAGGCACCGGGAGTACTGGCATAAACTTCGGGATACTGGAAAAGACCGATGGCTTACTTTTCAAAACAACTGGGTAAGGTAAGCTCTG